AAAGTCACCCAGCCAGCTTTCATGACTAACCAGAACTAGAACTCACCATCTCCTGGTTTTCACCAAAGACCAGGCCTTTTTCCTAGCTTTCATGCTTGGCTGGGGCATTCCAAAAATATCAGAGGGTCTTCCAGTTCAGGGGCCTTCAAACATGACAGCTTTAAGACTTGTGGACTTCAACTCCCAGAATTCCTCCTCTGGTCATGTTAGCTCAGGAATTCTGGGTGTTGAAGTCCGCCAGTCTTAAAACTTGCCACATTGATAAAACCCTTGCGCTAAAGAGAAAATCCGAGTTGTAGAACCCTCTCTAGGTGCGAGTTTGCGGTTCTCAATAAAACCCCTATTTTTCTCCTCCCCGCAGGACAATACCCGTTTTCCGACTCGGACAGCCAGGATGAGCTCGGGATCTCCTGGAAGCAGGAATACTTAGTAGCCGAGAATCCGGACGACAGCCGGCTGGTGTGCATGGTGTGCGGGGGCTTCTTGGCCACCTCCGGCCCCGCGGCGGCCCACCAGCACATCCTGCAGCAACACGCGCACTCGCTGGACTTCACCCTGGAAGAGAAGCGCAACATCTTGGAAGGCTGGAGCGAAGGGGCCGTGCTGCCTCCCGCCGGCGATTCACCGCCTCCCTCCGCAGGTAAGCGCCTCCCGGCCGCCGTCGTGGCGTGACCCTCCCCCGGATCGGAAGGGCCAACCATCTTCTGATTCCGTTTCTGGCCCTTCCCATCCCAGGCGGCCCCGGCGAGAACAAGCAGCCTGCCGAAATCGAAGTCCTCCTTGATACGGAGGAAGTGCCCGTGAGCCGGAAGCGCGGGCCTGTCCACGCACGCCGCGGTGAGTGCTAGGTCACAGAAGGTGGCCGGAGGCTGCCTAGAGCGGCCCTTTTCACAGCCCCGGGCCACCTCCCTGCACCCCAGGGGTCCTTGACTTACGACCACGGTTGGGACTGAGATATCCGTGGCTACACGGGCAAACGAAGCCGTGCCCTGTTTTCCATCCGGCATCCCGAAGCAAAAACCGCGGCCTTGGCGGTCCTTCATGCGGTCATTAAGCCAATCTAGTCCGCTCCTCGAATTTTCTTGTTGGAAACCGGCGGGGAAGGCCTCCAACAGCCACCTCTCGATGCCGGGACGGTTGTTAGCGGGAGGGGCCCGTTGTCGCGTCTCCCTTTTTGCCTTCCACCCCAGCGCCCTGGTATCTTCCCAACGCATCGTTGTAAGTCAACGGCTGCTGGCTGTTCTTTCAAAAAAAAAAAAAATTACCAATTACCCCGTCCCCTGAACCTGCCACCTGGGAAAGTGCGTGTTTTTTTTTTGCAAACCCGCCTTGTTGTGAACAGTCGCACCGTGCCAGGAATTCGTGTTGTGAGTGTGTTTGTTGGCCGGCTGTCGGAATTCCTCCCCGCCTCTCCCGGCTGCAAAAGATTCCCTCGCCCTGAGCTGACCTCAGACCGAGAAAACAAAAAACCCCGATCCCCTCTTTCTCGGTGTCTGTCAAAGAGGCTGCTCAGGGATAGGTAGGTAGATATATCCCAGCATCCTTTGCTGCAAGGCTAAGCTCCCGGGGGGGGGGGGGGCTTGGGGGGGCTGTAGTCCACCCGCTGGAGAATCCCAAAATTCCCCCTCCCCCCGCTGTTTTTCCCTAGCCAGGTGGCTGCAAAAGAGACTAACTCGGCTACAGGCAGGTAATCCTAGACTTACAACCCTTTCGGTCGTTAAGGGGGTTTTCTTCGTCCCTGTTTTTGTTTTTTGCGACCCCTCTCAGTGCAGTCATTAAGTAAACCGCCCCGTCCGTTAAGCGAGAGACCCGGTTACCCCCCAAAAAAGACGGGAATGAAGCCCGCCAATCCTGCTCCCTTTTGGCAACTCAGGTCGCCCTTGGTTTACGACCGCCCGCGGAGCCCCCAAGCTTCCGCCCGCTAAGCGAGACGGCTGTCAGAGTTGAAACTTTGCCCCCGTTTCACGGCGTTTCTTGCCACGGTCGTTCAGCGAATCATCGCAGTTGAATGAATCCGGCTTCCCCGTGGATTTTCCCTGTCAGGAGGTTGCAAAAGGCGGACTGTCATAAATACAAGTCGGTTGCCAAGCACCTGCATATTTCATGACGTGCCCCGTGGTTGTAAAGTGTGAAAGAAGCGGTCCCAGGTCACTTTTTCTCCCCCACCCCCCACCCCCCAGTAGGCGTAAGTAAACGAACCGTTGTAAGTTGAGGACTACCTGCGTCAGTCTTTACCCTTAGCTTGGCAAAGTAGCACGGAACAAGCCACGAACGTCTCCGAAATGCCTCGGTATTGTTTTGTCTCCACGCTAAAAGCTGCCGCTTCCTAACCGCGTCTTCTGTGCGTCTCTGTCCTCCTTTTTTGGTTTTGGTGTTTTTGGTCGTGAAAAGAAACCAGATCCTTTTCCTTCCCGAAGCTGCCCCCGCCCCATTAAAAGACCCCCGACTGAACCCCCCCGTGCTTTTCTCGTCTTCTCTCTTCGCAGCGGAGGGCTTGCACGTAGACGCCGAGCGGCGACTTTCCGTCCGACAGAGGCTACCCGCCAAGGATTCGAGGGGCCAGGAGCCCGTGGAGGCTGCAGGTAACGCGGGGTTTGCCACGGAACCGGTTGTGGCGTGTAGCTTTTGCGGGGGTTTTCCTTCCCTCTCTGTCCCCCCCACCACCACCTCTTTTGTGTGCGCTGAGCAGCGGTGGGATTCAAATTTTTTTGCTAACGGTTCTGTTGCTGGGCGTGGCAGGGCAAGGTTACTGCAAAATCCCCCTTCCCTCCCCACCCCACTAGCCTGCTTTCCAGCTCCGTTCTCCTGCGCAGGGCAACCAAAGAATACCCTGCCGATCAAATGTGGCTTGATGGGTGTGGCGTTTTGTGGGTGTGGCTTTGCGGGCATGGTGTGTGGCTTGGTGGGCGTGGCCTGGTGGGCGTGGCAGGAGGATACTGTAAAATCTCCATTCCCTCCCCACCCCACTAACCTGCTTTCCAGCTCTGTTGTCCTGTGCAGGGCAACCAAAGGAGACCCAGACGATCAACTGGGACTCAATGGGAGGCAGAGGAGAGATGGGGTTGGCGGGGCCAGTCCGAGGTGGGATGGGCCGGTTCTCCAAACGACTCAAAATTTCCGCTACCGGTTCTTTAGAACCCGTCAGAACCGGCTGAATCCCACCTCTGGTGCTGAGCTCTGTTTTAATGCCAAAACAAAGGGTTTGTTCAACAAACTCAGGAGGTGTTCCTCCAGCCTTTCAAAACTCAGGTTTCTAGCCCTCATGTAAAGCAAAGGGAAGCTTGAAAGCTGCCCAGATTGGAGGAGGATGTGATTCTATAGAGATGGCAATGTTGGACTTGGATCAAAAATGAAAGTTTGGCTTGTTTGCCTAGCTTTCAAGCGAGAGAAGTTTTGTCAAATAAGCACCATATTTTGTACGAAATAAGAGGCTCGGGTGTTTCTTTGCCAGATATATCTCCAGTCCCACAACTCGGTGGTGCTTCATACTCAAGTTAGCTTTTCTTTCTGTGTGCAGTTCACAATCCCTTTTCTACTTCGTTTTGAACTCCCTGCCCTACCTGTTAGTGTTTCTAGTCCTCAAGGTCCTGGAGGAAGCCACGAAAAATGCCCTCCGTTGATTTTTAATGCTGCTTGGAAATGTTATTCAGGGCTTGAATAAAATTGTAACTTTGATTGGATTAGAGCAGTGGGAGAGGTCGCAAGGCTTATTCTTTTAACAGATGAACAGAGTTGGAAGGGACCTTGTAGGTCATCTAGTCCGACCCGCCCAAGTCGGAGACCCCATTTATCACAAAAGCCAGTACAATTAAGAAATACTCAAAGGAGTATCTAGTTGCAAAATAATAGAATAAAATAATAACAAATAAAATCTCTGCTGATTAGATTTACATCCTGCCACGTCAGATCAATCCTCGGCTTACGACCACCATTAAGCCCAACATTTCTGTTGCTAAGTGAAACAGTGAATAAGTTTTGCCCCCATTTTAACGACCTTTCTTGCCACGGTTGTTAAGCGAACCACGGCAGTTGTGAAGTTAACAACGGTTGTTAAATGAAACTGGTTTCCCCCTTGGCTTGGTCAGTTGCCAAGCCTCTGCATTTTCATCACACGACCAAAGGTTTTAAAGGGTGAAAAAAATCATATATATTTTTTTGGTTTTTCTCCCTAGGAAAAGAGTGGCTTTCGGAATGCGGCCTCCCCAGTTCGGCTCCGGCTGAGATCCGGATTTTCACCGATGGCTCCTTCCCCGCTGGATTCACCCTGAAGCTGTACTGCCGTTCTCAGCCAGGTGGGTGTGGAAACTCTCAAAACTAGTGGTGCGAATCTTGCTTTTTTTTTTAAAAAAAAAGACTCTGGAAATATTGGCGCTGTCCCGGGCTCGGCACAGATCAGGAGGTTTTTAATCTACAACTGATGTACCAGGCCAAGGTCAGTCGGCAATCTCCAGTATCTTGCCCTGATATCTCGGCAATTCTAGCATGGAAAACCTCTTCCCTTTGGTTTGGTTTTTATTTTATTTTTACGTTAAAAAGAGATGGTTTAGACAGAGTGGTGGCCTCCCCTTTCTGTTCCAGAGAATTGTTTCCTTAGCTCTTCGCTTTGTTCCATTTTTCCTTTGCTATTTATTCTTCTTATCTTCTTTATTCCCCCTTTTATTCATATTATTATTATTACTATTATTATTATTATTTACGAAACTCAGTCATCTGAACTTTTAAAAATGTATCACCACTGTTATTGATCAATTACTATTATTATTTAAATACGAAACTCAGTCAACTGAACTTTTAAAAATGTATCACCACTGTTATTGATCAATTATTATTATTATTTAAACGTGAAACTCAGTGGGGATGCTGCAATGGTCGTTAAGTGTGAAAAAGGGTCATCGGTTACTTTTTTCAGTGACACTGTAACTTTGAACTGTCACTAAAGGAACTGTTGTAAGTCAAGGACTACCTCTATTCAGTCTCCAGCTGAATTGGATTGGGAGACATACATACACACATACACACGCACACACACCTTTTTTTCAAGCACCAGAGTGACTGCAAACGGCTTCTAAACAAACGGTCGTAAGTGGAGGACCGCTTGTAACCAAAGACGCTGCCTCCTTTTGGTGCCTGACTCGATAATTTGCTCCTCAAAGCTGCAGAAAACTGCTTGTCTGGGGGTGGGGATGGGGGGGACGGGACAGGAAGCTGAGTATTTGGAGGGTGCATCCCCCACAATGACCGCTGTGGTGTGTTTGGGTTGCAGAGCCATCGCAAGGCCCCGGAGCGAAGGCAAACCCCAGGAAAAAAACCGTGGGTAAGTGTGAACCTTCGTTTCTCTCGAACGTCGCATCTTTGTTTGACCTCAGGTTGCGTTTCCTTGGGCGGAGAAGGGATCCGCAGTGGGTTTCCCTCTGCCAGAGGTCACTCCTATCGTCCGGTAAAAGATTCCTCTCTCTTCCAAGGAAAGGGGATTTCTGTGCTGTCCGTTGATCCGTGTGGGTTTGGGAACCAATTAAGAAGAGGTGCCTGTTTCTCTCCATCTATTTTTTTTTTAAAAAGTCACTAGTCCTCATTGTTTTGGGGGGTGGGGAATCAATTGCACAGAAACTGGGAATGTTTGCAGAGAATTTGATGGTTGATCGAGCAGAAATTAGCATCCCATGTCCAAGGGGGAAGTGGAGAGAAGCCAACAATTTGACTCCCCTTCGCTGGGTTCCCGGCCATCTTTGTGTGCCAATTCCGTCCTTGGGGACAGATTTTGGAAATGTGATCACTTCCTGTTAAAATTATAGGAACCTGAAACACACCGCAGCTGGATCCGGCCAGAACCGCCTATCCAGCTGCCTCACGGAGGCTTCAGCATTCTGGGAAATTGAGAAATACGGGGAAGAAAGTCAAATATTTCGCTGCCTTGTGGTTCTTCCTTAAGGGAGCCCGTTCCTGATTTTAGTGGCTGCAAAGAACAGCAGCCACTGCAAAAAGAATAGGAGTTGGAAGGGATCTCAGAGGTCTTCTAGTCCAACCCCTCTTGCTCAAGACAAAAAGGCTTATTTGTTCATGGGCCCAAAACTTCTGTCACTAGATGAGACATTTGTTAAGTGAGTTCTGCCCCCACAGTTGTGAAATCAATCAAGGCAGTTGATAAGTTAGTAAGCCGGTCGTTAAGTGAATCTGGCTTCCCCATTGACTTTGTCGCAAAAGGAGATCATGGGACCCTTGGACACTGCAACCGTCGTAAGTATGAATCTGTGGCCAAGCGTCTGACTTCTGATCACGTGACCACAGTGCGTGTAACGGTCGTGAGTGCAAAAAAAAAACCCCGGCCATGAGTTCCCTTTTCCCACGGTGCCATTGTAACCCCGGTCACTAAACAGGATGGTTGTAAGTCGAGGATTGACTAACCGATGACGCGCGCCCTTGCCTCTCTTCCCCAGATCGCGACTGCTCCGTTTCCCTGTTGCGGCTTCACTCCAGGGACGCTGCCAGCCACCTCCACCCAAGCCAGGACACCCTCTCCCCCCGTTGCCCGCTGGGCAGCTCCGCCGACAGCCGCCCCAAAGACTGTGGGGCAGTTCGGGGAGCGGCCCGACGGGGGAGCCCTGCTGGCAAGGAGGCCTCCACCGCCCTGGAGAAAGGCTTCAACCCCAGGTGGCGGGCGCGGTTCCTGGTGGACTTCGACGCCGCCACCGGCCACCTGGTCTGCATGGTTTGCGAGTACCCCTTGCGACGCATCTGCCTGGCCACCGTCAAGCAGCACATCCTCCAGTGCCACGCCGAGACGCTCCAGATGCCCCGCGAAGTCCGGCGTACCATCCGCGAAGTCTGGGAGAACCGGTGCCAGCCCTCCGCCCAGGCCCCAAGGAAGTGAGGGGGGGGGCTCTCCAATCCCGCTTGACTCGGGGAGCCACGAGAAAGGGTTAAAGGAGACCAAATTTGGGTGGACCAGGCAGGCGCCCAGGGGGGCGGAGCTTGAGAGGAGGAGGCTCCACCCCTTTCCTCGGAAAGCTCCGCCCCGACACTCTTCACTCCTAATCTCCTTTTGCTGGAGGAGAGAACAGATTCTGAGCTAACTCTGCCGCTGTTGTTTTTTTTCCAAGTCTTAATTCTTATTTTTTTTTTTATTCTTATTATTTGTTTCTATTTTCAACTTTGCTTTTCCGTCCTAAGCAGAAGCAGCTCTGATTTCTCTCTGGCCCCAGGCTTTCTTTCTTCCTTCCTTTTTTTTCCTCCTTCTCGCCGGCGAAATCCCACACCGCAAGAGAAGGGAAAACGGAGAACGGGAGTCGCCGTTAAATCCGCAAGTCGCGATGGGAGCGTTTTGCCACCGCCTTCCCCTTATTTCAGGGTCGGTTCATTAAAAAGAAAAAAGAAACTCAGGGGGAAATCCTTTTTTTTGAGTTGCAGTCAGACCCTTTTGCCTTTTTTTATTATTGTTATCTCTTTTTTTTTTTATGTCCGTCTCCGCAAAAGCTGCAGGAAGAAATAAGATGTAGTCATTGCTGGGATTATCATTTTCATCGCCAGCAGCGCTGTGTTTCTGCGGTTAAAGGGACGCTGTGCTTTGGTTCCCTGGTTTAACCAAATATCAACCTGGGCTTTTCAAACAGATTCATAAACCACAGGGAGCAGTAAAATTATATTTTACGTTCTACAAGCGGTCTCCTTTCTATCGATGTGCATTTTTGAGTTCTGTGTTCCGGTTACCGTTTCACTTGTGCTCCTGCAGGGGGGGAAAAGGGGGAGAATTTCTCTTTTGTTCGAATCCTGTAGCGGCAAAAAGGTGCCCAGAGACATAAACTCTGCTGAACAAAATCCCTTCGGCCGCTTTACAGTTTTGCAACTCTGCCCACCACCGCTGGGGTGTGTCCAGCTTAAGCAGAGCCTGGCTTTGAAAACCAGCGTGGGAAGAAGCTGCAATCGTTCTGTTTGTGCCTTTATTTATCCAGGTGTCGGTCCAACAGGTGCAAGCCAGGAAGCCAAGCGAGATTTGTTTTTTTCCCTTTATTCAAAAGTGGCCGGAAGTTCTTGCTGTAATAAATGAAAGCAGGTTTATATAACGGAGTTGACTCTTAAAAGGTAGAGGAAGGACAACTGATGTCCTCTCCTATATTCCAGGGATTTACAATAAAACCACTGAAAAATCTATTTTCTTTCTACCCCCCACTCCTTTGGGGGATTGCTTGCAGTTTCAGAGTCCACCACTTGAGGGGGGCCTTTGACTTGTAAAAGGAGTCAGGGAGAGGAGAGAGGACCAAATCCTAGAGAAGACTTCCCTGCATAATTGGAATTCTCAGATATATTTGCTTCTGTGGTCTGACTCCCCCCAAAACAGATAGAGAGCACCTATGATGCAAGAGGCATGTTTTCTGCCTGCCTGCATTGTCACACATCCTACATAAAAGTGGAATTAGCAATTCTCCTAGTGCTGTGACGCATGCCAGAGGTGTCACGCAGAGCCCTCTCTAAAAGCATGCGCGCCATCCCCAACCGCTCTTCTGGTTTCTGGCATGCAGAGCCGTCTCTGTGGGCATGCATGCCAGCCAGCTGGTCTTTGTGGGTGCTGGAGCACCTGAAAAACAGCCTGAAAGCGTCCAAAAACAGGTCCCAAAACAGCAAAAAACACCACCCCCCAAAAGGCATGCGCATATCAGGTAGCTGGTCTTTGGGGTTTCTGACACTCCGGCATGCACGTCTGTTCCGGTTTAAGCACTTGGTGCCCAAAAGGTTGACCATCACTGTCCTAGGGCGAATTAAATCTTGCCAGTGGTGGTACACTACCGGTTTGGCCTGGTTCCCACGAACCGGTAATAAAGAAGAGAAAAGTGCAGAATCGGCCCCTCCCGTTCACCCCTGGGCTTTTCTTTATCCTCTCAGCTGACTGGCACTGCAGGCCTCAGCTGGTGTGGGGAAAGCCGCCTGCATGCGTCACCAAACCAGTAGCGGAACAGGTGGGACCCCACGGCTGAATCTCGCACACGCAACACACACAAACACACCCCCAAAGCCTTGTCAAATATTTGGACGTTGCCAATGGATGGAAGAGAAGTCAGGATAGCGTTGAATGTTGTTTTATCAGACCCGCTCTTGTTTCCTGTCCTGGAGATGCTTTGATGGAGGCAACGGAGTTAAAACGGGGCCATTTTGGGTGTGGGGGGACCTGGGAGCCCTTCCCCCCACCCACCCCTGCCCTCCCCCTTCAAAAGAGACGCTCATTACAAAAGCAGAAATGACATTTAATAAATTAAGGGAAGACTTTTACAGTCGGGCCCAATAAATAACAAAAGCAAGGTCCAGAGAGAAGAGAAACAGGAAGGCAGGAGGAGGAACCAAACGGCGAGAGGCAGTATTGTTTTCAGTACAAAATAGTCTAAAAAGAGAGAAATAAGAGGAGAAATTGGACTTGCTACCCAACACCGTCACAACTGCTACACGGAAAGGGGGTGTTGCTCGGATCAGGGATCACGGAAGCAAAGCCAGGAGCGCAGGTTTACGGAGGCCGGTGTGTGTATACACACACACACACACGCACATGCAGATACAAAATCAGCCATTAAGCTTTGCGTGTGCATTGAAAGGTGTGTTTTTGTTGGGTTTTATTTTTCTGAGTCGCCTTTTTCAGAAACGGAATCCGTGTTTCGCAATTTAGCTGCTGTTTCCCGCCTCGCCTCTTTTTATTTATTTATTTTTTTGAAAGAAAAAAGAAAACCCTGATCAGGCTTTCAAAATATTTGGGGGAAGAAAGGGAAATAAATCAATTGGCTTAGCCGAAGAGGCTAGTTGTGATGTCATTCTGAAGTGGGCAGACTTTTAAAACGCAGGCTCTGCTCGTCTGGGGCAAGTCGCGGATTCTGAAACTTGTTTCCGTGCTTTTAACCCCCTAAATCAGGGGCCCTCAAACTTGATAACTTTTAAGACTTCTGGACTTCCAACTTCCAGCCAGCGTTTTTTTAAAATTCTATGATTGCTAGTCTCAATTGCAATTGGCAAGTGACCACCAGGAGGCAGTATGTGACTTGGTTTTGTCTTATATAATCCCACACTGCCTCCTGGTGGTCATTCTAAGTAAGGACACACACAACAAAGGGCAAGAAATTAGCTTGGTTCGGAATTTCTGGGCGTTGAAGTCCACAAGTCTTAAAGTTGCCAAGTTTGGAGACCTCCGCCCTAAATCTATTCAATTTCTCTCCCTTTCTTTGCCAGACCCCTTCCAAGTTTTCATCATCCGGTGTACTGGAAAAAAAATATATGATTTCCCACGCTGACCTTCATGGAAGCTTCTGCAGCAAAAGATAAGCTTGTTCCTTTACCCACCTATTTCCAGGCTCATCCTAATCAATATTTTTCCCCATTACAGGTAGCCTTACAACCACAATCGAGCCAAACACTATGCGAGACCGTTGTTAAGTGAGTTGACTTTTTTCTTTCTTTTTTGGCTACAGTTCAGTGAACTTTTGTAGCTGTTAAGTGAATCCTATAGTCCCAAAGCAAATCTGACTTGGCCCAAGCGCCCAAATTCTGCCCCGGGGATGCTTGCAAACAGTCGCAAAATGTGAAAACTGGTCATAAGTCGCTTCCCCCCCCCCCAGTGCTGTTGTAAATTTGAGCAGTCACTACACGGTTATAAGTCGAGGACTACCCGTACCCCAATCCTGGGAATTTCCAGAGGGTCTGTAAAATCTTGCCGCTGGCAGTATTCAGAATAAAAAAAATAAGAGATCCGGCTGCTCCAACCAAGAATAGGAACAGCGCTAAAAAACACACAAATCTAGACACTTCAAAGAGAGACAAACATGGAAACTACGAAGATATTTTTTTATCACAGTTGTGTGGCTATTTTGTCGCTTTTGGCCTGGTGAGTGTGGAAATGGAGGGCCTGCCGGCTGCCCACTCCTCGTTGCATCTCCCCCTCTCCAGTTTTCTAAAAACCACATATATTTTTCCCCTCCCCGATCTATGCTCACTTGGCAGGTTGTAGCTGGTGATGGATTAGAGAGAAACGAGACTCCTTGGAAGACCATTGAAAGCCACAGGGCCTGCAGCAGCAGCTCTTTGCATTCCCCATTTTTTGGGGGGAGGGAAGGGGGGGCATGGGGACTTTAAGACGAGCCCCACCCCTTCCGATTAAAAATATGTGTTTATGTATTGCATCTGAAGTCAGAAGTGAGCTTTTAACCCTCCCCCAGTGGATTCCAGGCATCTTGAAATGGGTATATAAACTTTATGACCTGTGGACTTCGACTCCCAGAATTCCTCAGCACAGCCCCGCTCAGGAATTCTGGGAGTTGAAGTCCTACAGGTTGTAAAATTGCCTACTCCTCCTCTGCTCTATTGAGATAGCGGCCTCTGTTGTCACTGCCTGCCGAGGATGATGGGAAGGGTAGTCTCCCTCACCAGTAGGAAGACGTAGCCTCCTTTCTGTCCCTTTGCGTTCTTCCTAAACATTTAAAAAACTTTTTTGTTTTGTTTTCGCAGAGACCCTGCCAAGATGGGGAGGTGGGCTACTTTAACTGTGCTCAGAGAGGGGGGGGGGCTCCTGTTTCTCATCCCCCCCCACTCCCCTCCTTTAAATCCTCAGTCCACATAGTCAGAAACCGATGCAAAGTTTTGGATCTGCACCTGGGAGGCGGGCAACGTAACTGCCACTTGCGGCTCGTTAAAGCAGCTGCCTCTTAATTTTTTTTTTTTCCCCCACCCAGGAAAAAGCTGGTTTAGAAAGCCTGCAGCGATCGGCCGCCTCGATCCGTTGCAAAACCTCATATTTTTTTTGCCATCGGTTCTGAAATGCTGCGCAACCCTCGTGACAAGAGACAGGGGCAGAAATTGGGGAAGGGGGTGGAAGAGAAAAAGGGAGGCCTGGCTGCCCCCCCACACCTTTCCTTAAGCAGGGGAGGGAAGGATGATTGTCCCACTCCTAGTTTTCAATTTGTAGGAAGGGTGTGGTTTTTTTTTTGTTAGCCCAGAAGGAAAGCCAGTGCAGTGTCCAGTTTGGGGAATGCGTTCCACCCTCATCCCCCCACACCCCATTTAAACCCCCCCCTCCCCATCAAACCCTCCTTATAGATGCACAAACACAGACAATTGGCAAATGCACAAGAAATCGGGATATACTGCTGTCCACAGCATAGACAGGAAGTGACCTGGATCTTTTCTTTGAAGAAGAAAAAAAAAGGCAGTGGTAAGGAAATAGCTCCCTCTAATTTACACACACACACACACACACACACACACACACACCCAATAAATTAACCTGGCACACAACAGCCCCAACCCAGTCACTCCCCCTTCCCTTCCCACCTGGATGCCAAAGGTAAACCAGCTTGGAAAAGCCACGGGTGGGCGGTTGAAACCGCAGCCGCCGCCGCTTAAATTTTGTGCCGCCCAGACCCACAAAAACCAAGCTTACGGCAACCTTGCGCGTTGGGACGCACATCTACGAGGTTCTGGATTTGGCAGTCGCCTTTGCCGCTTTGACCGTCTTGGGGAGTGGGGGGGCTGCAATCCTCCTGCTGCCTCCCTACCCCTTATTGCACGCCCCTCCCGCTTTTGTTTGTCCCTAGCCCTGAGAGTTGACGGAGATCACCCGGTGGCGCTCCATCCCAGTTCACACCTCCGTCTCCACGCCAGCCAGCTTGGGGGTGAGGATGCGGGGCGTGACGCCGGCGTTGAGGTCCGTTTCGAACTGCAAAAGTTGCCCCATGAAGTTCAGGTTGGGCGAGATGACGGGCCGGCGGCCCTTGACGTACTTGTAGGCGTCGCCCATGGTCATCAAGGTGTGCTTCATCAGGTAGGCGATGACGATGGTGGCGGAGCGTGAGACGCCGGCCTGGCAGTGGACAAGGACTCCCTTGCCACTCTGGTGGGCTTCCTCTGGAGTTGGGGAGAGAAACGGCAGCGTTAAGAGGCAGGATGTGCTCAGGGACTCCACACTTGGCCCCTTTAAGAGTTGTGGACTTCAACTCCCAGAATTCCCCAGCCAGCTTTTTTTGGAAATTTATTCTATGACTCTGTTGCTTAGTGACAGACTTTCTAGTCTCAGTTGCAATTGGCAAGTGACCCACCAGGAGGCAGTATGTGACTTGGTTTTGTCTTACATAATCCCACACTGCCTCCTGGTGGTCATTCTAAGTAAGGACATGCACAACAAAGAGCCAGAAATTGCGGAATTGAGGAATTGCGGCCAAAATTTCTGTTGCCAAGGGAGACATTCGTTCGCTGAATTTTGTCCCATTTTACAACCTTCCTTGCCTCAATTATTAAATGAACCACTGCAGTTGTTAAAAGGAACACAGTTGTCACGTGAAATCTGGCTTCCCCGTTGAGTTTGCTCGTCCGAATGGTCGCCAAAGCGGATATACCTACACAACCCCAGGGACGCTGCCACCGCCCTAAACGTGGTTTGGGTGTCAAGCATCCCAGGGTAAATCATGTGATGCTGCAACGGTCGTAAGAGTGGAAAACGGCCATAAAAGACCCCCTTTTTTTTTTCCAGCGCCGTTGTAACTTCGAAAGGATTGCCTGTTCTCCCTCTTAACTTTTTTCTTTCCTGTTCCCCAGATGTTAATCCCCCTCCCCCACTGAGATCTGAAATGTTTCCTGCAGAGAATTAGGGGTGGGTATGAGGATTTCCTTCCAGCATTTCCAAAGGTGGGATTCAGCCGGTTCGCACCGGTTCTACAGAACCGGTAGCGGAAATGTTGAGTAGTTCAGAGAACCGGCTAATATCGCCTCTGACTGGCCCCGCCCCCATCTATTCTCCGCCTCCCAAGTCCCAGCTGATTGGCTGGGTCTCCTTTGGTTGCCCTGCACAGGAGAACGGAGCTGGAAAGCAGGTTAGTGGGGTGGGGAGGGAAGGGAAGGGGGATTTTGCAGTATATCCTTCCCCTGCCACGCCCACCAAGCCACACCCACAGAACACCACGCCCACCAAGCCACACCCACAGCTAATGGGATGGGTCTCCTTTGGTTGCTCTGCACAGGAGAACGGACCTGGAAAGCAGGTTAGTGGGGCGGGGAGGGAAGGGGGATTTTGCAGTATCCTTCCCCTGTGACGTCAACCAAGCCAAGCCCCACCAAGCCACGCCCGTGGAACTAGTAAGAATGTGTGAATCCCACCCTATTTCCCACTTATGGGCTCCCCAACCTGGGTCAAGATTCGGCTCGTACCGATGAACTCAAACGCCTCCTCAAAATATTGCCGCAGGTCCTGTCGGTTGTTGTCGGTGGCCGGTAAGCGCTTGTAACGGAGGCGCCCGCTCTCGGCGTGGTAGAGCGGCAGGTGGGTTGTGACGTTGAGAACATGGCCCACGTTGAGGTGGAGTAAAATCTCCAGGTTCTGGGCGTCCCGCTCATTGCCCAGGTAGAGGAAGGGGAGGATGGGGCTCAGTTCGGCGTTCTCCAAGTCGGGGGTCAGCGGAGAGCCCACCTCGTTCGAGATCTCCGGAGCATCCAACCCGATCGGACTGCCTGCGGCCAAAACACGAAACGTGAGGGTGGCATTCCTGCTCGCGGGGCACAACGGAGACGTGGCGTTCAAATGCGTGGCAAAAGGGGAGGGGTGGAGGCACAGGAGATCAAGGTGCTTTCTCCCCCTCTCTACCTTTCCAATCCCGCCAGGTAAGATCCGGGGGAGGGTCTCCAAATGGCCCCCTTTCAGACTTGTGGTCTTCAACTCCCAGAATTCCCTAAGAGCTCATTTCTGGCTCTTTGTTGTGCGTGTTCTTACTTAGACCGACCACCAGGAGGCAGCGTGGGATTATATAAGGACAAAACCGGTCACCTATCCTGCCTCCTAGTGGTTGCTTACCAACTGCAACTGAGAGCCGCAATTCTGTCGTAAAGTTTTTTTTTTTAAAAAAAAATGCTGGCTGGGGAATTCTGGGAGTTGAAGTCCACAAGGGGTCAAGTTTGGCAGATGAAAAGCTTCCCTAGATTGGAAACGGAGGAGCGGGGGGTGGGGGGGAGAAGGATAAAAGATGCTTTGCCCGTTATATCAAGCTACCAGCAGGACAAGCTTCGTCCTGGTTCAATCAAAGCTTCCTCGTCGGGACTGGGAAGCAAGGCATGATGGGAGTTGTAGTTTTAGGGGGAATGACAGGTGCACTTGTCTCCGCCCTCCTCCTTAGCTCCTCCCCTCATTCAGCTGGCTAAAAGTAGGGCATCTCAAAGCATCCCTCCCAGGTTTTATTCTTATTCTTATTTTTTTCAGAATGGGCCTTGGGGATAGCAAGGGGGGTGGGGGTGGGAATGTTTTGCTGAACTACAACTCCCAGCATACCTTGCACGTGGCTCTCCCAGCAGACTCCTGGTTCAAACCACATCTGGAAAGAATTGCCTTGTTTCTCCCTGTTTTAAAGTGTTTAAACACTGCTCCAGGGGTGGCCCCTTAAATGAAAAACAAGGATATATCCCACTCTTCTTCTTCTTCTTCTTCTTCTTCTTCTTCTTCTTCTTCTTCCTCTCCTTTTCCTTCTTCTTCAGATCTTCTTCAAATCTTCTCCATTGGCAAAAGGGGCTTATTTAGAAGGAGCTTGCTCCCACGCAGAGGGAGATAGGTGCGTTTTTAAGGTAGACTTCTCCTGAACCAAGAGGCTCTAACTTAGCATTCTTGCCTGCTGGGCCTGGTGTTCCCCTCCCTCCTTCCCTCCCTCTCTCTCCGCCCTTCAAGCTTAACGGCCACATCAAATCCTATCTTGAAACAAGGTTTAAACACAAAATGTCTCCCACAGTCCAGGTGTTTTTTTCTCCTTACCTCTCTTCCCAAGTCCTTGCTCATCTTTGTGCACCAAATCCAGGACCAGGTGCAGGTTCTGCGTAGGCGGGGCTGCCTTGGGCAGCTTGGGGGGG